ATTCAAGGACATAGAGCAAGAGACATGGAGAGTGTTTCACTGGGCTTGACTGATGTTGGTGTGCGGGTGGAGGTTTAGTTTGGAGGGACAGCAGGGCCACATACTCGTTAATCAGTCTCTTCCGTGTGTGTCTGCAGCGCGCGGGCCGGCGGCAGGCCCCCTCCAGCCCGGCAGGCCCCCTCCAGCCCGGGTCTAAGGCCAGCACCATTATCATTGTTCTTTCTGACGTTCAGCCCTCGGCTGCTTCCTTGGAGGGTGGTGGCTGTGTGATCCGGAGATCTCCGGTGAAAATCTTAACTTTTAGCAACAAGGTCTGTTTTGAAAATAGCGAAAATGGGAAACGAGGGATTTGGGATGCCCGGTGCTTGTTCTGACAAGCTCATTTGTGGTTGCCCAGTACAGAGAGAGCTCTGAGTCACGCTGACAAAACGCTGTACATTATGATCCATTGACAGTTCTCTCCGTGTGCTTCAACCCGACAGATCTGGGGAGAAGCTGGGTATTCTTAGGGTTTAATGGAGTTGAGATTAATTAGCTTGTACCACCAGCTGACAGGTTGGTGGCTCCAATGTGCTGATATTTGATACAGCACACTGCTGAATAGATTGCTTTGGCTGCAGCTAAAAACAGTTACGAATACACTTTATTTTATTTTATTTTTTGACTTATTTTTATTTTTTTATCCTCACCCGAGGACATTTTTGCATTTATCTTCAGATAGAGTGGAGGGAGGGTGGGGGGAGAGAGAGAGAAACATCGATGTGAGAGAGATACATCGACTGGTTGACACCCACATGACTCCAATCTGGCTGAGGACAAACTGCAACCGAGGTACGTGCCCTTAGCGGGAACCGAACCCAAGACTCTCTGGTCCGTGGGCTGACACTCTAACCGCTGAGCCAAACTGGTCAGGGCCAAATATACTTTTTAAGTGAAAGCTTAATAAGTATTTGTGGAGCTCTGGAAGGCCCAGAGCCTGGCCAGTCCCCCGACATCACTGTGCCAAGCAGTTACTGGGTGGCGCTAGGACGCCACCTCCTGGCCGCCAAAGGCAATGCCTCTGGTCAGGATGCTGGGTTCTGAGCTCCGCCTGCGGGTGTCCTTCCTTCTGGTCCTCGTAGTTATCGCTGAGCCCTCGAGAACCACCGGAGAACCTGCCTTAGAAGCCCAAGGGGAAGCTCAGTCTATGTGTCTACAGGCAGGGTCCTCCGAGTGCTTTCCTTGTGAGACGTGCGCTGACCTGCTGGCTCCTGGACAACGTGAGCATCTCATTTCGTCCTTTTCCAATTCCTGTTCTTTCAGAAGTCTTTCGAGGACCTCCTGAGTCTGTGGGCTCTGACTGGGGAGTCCCCAGGAACCTGTGGGGGAGTTACCTCGAGAGCAGCAGGCTTGGGTGGGCAGCCCAGGTCTATGCCCTGGGGGAGAACGGGGAGCCTGCTGGGTCCAGGTTTAATACAAGGGTTGATTTGTTGTTACCTGTTAGAACTTAGGTTAAGCTCCAGGTTCAGGAAAGGAAAAGACAACACTGCCATCTAGTGGCAAACGTGGTGGACAGCACACATGGTGACAGCTGGTTGGGATCCAGTTGTTCAGGCTCAGAACCATTTTTAGCATCAGAATAGTCTCTGACCCCACGTGACAGTGGCCCAAGGCAGCAGGGGAATTTGCAGGCTCCTTGTCTCTCCAGCCAGGGCACTGTCACCACCCAAGGAGCCAGCTGCTGTGCGGCAGGCACCATGCTGGACTCCTGGCCTGCCTGTCTCCTTAACTCCCCTCTCACAATCCCAGGAGGGAGCCAGTCACATCAGCATTCCTCTCAGGGAGCTGACATGCACACCTGTGCTCACGGCCAGGCAGGCAGCCCACTTAGCCTGGGGGGGCATGTTTGGGGCACTGTCTAGTTTGGGAGGTGTAAGTGGGACTGCAGAGAAGTGTGGCTTTTTTATTCCCTCTTTTTTTGTGTTTGAAGGGAAATTCCCAATAGGTCTTAGGTTGCGCAGAGTTCTGGAGGAGCAGGAGCTCCGGAGCCAGGCCCTTTGCCTCCCCTCGCGCAGCCCTGCTGGGTGGGCTGCTTGCGAGGCAGGTCAGTGTGGAGGAAAATCACGCTCTGGCTAGTCCACCTCGCCAGCGGCTCAGCCCTCTCTGAGCCTCAGTTTCCTTATCTGTCGCTGAGCTACACTCCCGCAGGCTTCGGTATGGAGAACATCTGGCCCAGAGCAGAGATAAATGCTGTTCCTCTCTCCTTTCCTTGATGATTAAATAAGAGCCGCTCAAGAAATGACAATGTAATTCAGGAAAAAAAAGAAGAAAACAAAAGCGAGAAAGAGATCTGGGTTCACCTCTATCGATTTTGCTAAATTGCAAATCATGCAGAACTTTCTGTGTTAGACAGAAACCATTGGGCAGCTTTTGTTTCTATCCTAGATAAAAATGGATTTCATTTTCCAATGAATGTCTTAGAACCCAATTAAAAATCAAAAAGAGATGTTCACTCCATTTAAGTCTTAAGTGCACCTTATGCTCAATTTCAAAGCCCAGAATGAGCTGACACTTGCAAAATGTTAGCGAGATATCCCCAACGCCTTTTACGCCACTTCCAGAATAAGAAGTGGCCTCTTTTTGTGGGAATGTTACGCTCTCAGAAGACCAAGAGCTGCACTACCCTTAGTTGCTCTACTTCTGGATGCCCTGGAGATCTAACCCTCGGAGAGAAGGGGAGATGGAGGGAAGGGGTGCGGGGAAGGCAGGCATCAGAGTGACTCCAGCCAGTGAGGCAGAGCTGGTTGGGGGCTTTCTGGACAAGGTACCAGCAGGGAGAGCTTGGGCCATGCTGCTTAGTTATCAGGGGTGCTGAGGATGCTGCAAGCACTCAGGCAGTGTAGAGAGTAGAAATTCCTGGGAACGGATTACTCCACTTAATCACCTGGTAGAAACTGTGAACAGAAGCCAGAAAACTGTCAAACAAGGGATGATAGGTTCCAGAACCTACGTTGAGTGCAACAGTAGTCCCCAGTCACTGCCCAGATGTCTGCACATTTGTAGTAAGGGCAGTAACTGTGCACTTTAAATGCTTGAGAGATGGGAAAACTGAGGCAGAGTGGGAGCAGGTGGCCAGCCCAGGCCACCCAGCTGAGAAGTGGTGGGGCCAGGATTTGAAGTGGTGGGGCCAGGATTTGAACAGGATTTTCAAATCCTGGAGCCAAAGCTGGTGGCCTCAATCACTACGCCAAATATTGCCTTTCAGAACAAAAAGGGGCCCATGAACAAGTCAGAGTAGGTTGCCCTAAGTTCGTCAGCACCCACATTCCAGCAGAGCCCGGGACTGAGCCTCCAGGGAAACTCCCCGAGATGTGATGAAGATCTGGGGCCCTCGGAATGACAGACACCAAAGCGGTGTGAGATGAGGCTGGCCGTGGCGGGGGGGGGGGGGGGGGGCGTTGAGGAGGACCAGGCTGGTAGTGGAATATGGTGTCAGCCTTGAACCTGGGGGGCTAGGGAAACTATCGACAATTTGAGCACCTACTGTGGGGCATTTTCCAGAGGACGATACTGTGGTCAGAGTGACTGCCAGGGTCTGCTAAAAGCAAGTGGGATGGAAACCAGGCCTGGGAGACAGCTGCCTACACCCATGGCTCCTGGGTCGCCCTTGTGATGACGTCACCTGGGCCATGGGTAGGGCTCTCCTGGGGCATGTAAACTGCCAACACTAAGATCCGGTGAGGAACCTTTTACTGTTGCCTCCAAACCCAGCTGCGCCAGATTTTGACTCCTGCTCTGCTGTGATCACTGTGAAAGGACAACATACACACCACTGGGCAGTCTAGTCACCCTCAGAGGAAGCGGGAGCCAGGCCATCTGACCACCTTCCTCTTCTAGGGGCTGCAGGGTGTGAGCAGTCAGCAATGAGGGTTTCCTGCAGCATTCACGAGGGAGGGCACTTCGGCTCAGTGCAGGATAAAGGCGGCAGCTAAGCTCTTTCCCGTCAGTGATGTGGACTGAGGCCTGGGAGACCATCTACCCTTATCCATTCACCCCAGTCCATTCAGGCTGCTATAAAATACCCCGGACTGGGTGGCTTCTACACAGCAGGATTTTGTTGCTCACAGTTCTGGAGGCTGGAAATGAGAGTTCCAGGCGCAGCATGGGGGGCGAGGGCCCTCTCCTGGACTCGTGTGTCCTCACATGGCAGAAGGGGCGCGGGGGCTCTGTGGGGCACTTCTACAAGGGCACTAATCCCATTCATGAGGACTCCACCCATGTGACCTAGTCACCTCCCAAAGGCCCTACCCATTAACATTGCCTCCAGGGGTGAGAATTCAACATGTGGCTTGGGGGCTCCAACGTTCAGACCTCAGCACCATCCACATCCGCTCACCTTCTCTATGGCCGCCTGCTGCCGAGAAGCAGCTGATCCTGGAGCCTGAAGGGCAGCTGACATGGTGGAAGCCCTGGCGCAGCCGTGGTTATAGACCGTCACCCACCATGAGGAATTCTGCCTTTAGGGGGCCCACAAGGCTGCCAGGACTGCTGACCAGCGTCCTGCAAGCGACCCTAGAGCCCCAGGACTCTCAGAAGTAGCTCAAAGCAATGCAAAGAAGCGGGAGGCAGCTTCGACCATGAGTCAGAAAAAGCAAAGGTTCTGGTAGTGACCGCTGCCATGTTGACTGTCATCAGGCAATGTCGCATGTAGAAGATGACAGAGAAAGGCCAGAGGGTGGGTGTGGAAGAGGGAAGCAAGGCAAGGCGACCTGTTGGCCGGAGAACAGGGCAGACACTGCAAACACAGACACGCCCGCCCTCCTTCTTCCCACCACCACAGTGCCATTTCCCACTTCGCCTCTGAAGACGGCCACACGCACCAGGCCTTCTGCATGGAGAGCCCAAACATGCCAACGGGCTGGCTGGGGACCAAAGCAGCAGCTGACGTTTCAGAGCTGATTCCAACTTATGAGGTCTCAGACTTCAAAGACAACCACCACGTGATCTTAAATAATCATGTGTTTAATGATTCACAGAACAAACTTGTTCTTTACTATAAAGTTCATTATGAACTTGAATCACTAAAATTTAAAAGTCCATAACTGAATTTAAGCCCTGAGAACACCACATTTTGTGTTCGGTGATTTAACGTAGTAAACTTTGTGCAAAGTCATGAACCGTTCCAGACATTTGTGATCTCCAAAATATAAGTAGTAAAACGTAGTGAGTCCTCTATCCCTTTGCCGTAAGTGGAGAGCGATGGCTGGAGTCCCCACGGCTGAATTATGCTGTGAGCACGAAGAAAACTCTGTTCTCACCTGGGCCCCCGGCCTGTGAGGCTGGCGGATCCACCTGGGACAACCACCAGCAGAGGATCCGGAAGCTTTCTAAAGACAGGTGCCGCAGCCCCGACCCCGGGCAGGCAGCCGGGCCACAGCAACAGCAGAGTCTTCTGGAGAGAGCACTGCATCCCCACCCAGTCCGTGTCCACCTGTACCCACCACAGTCAGGGACTGCATAATGCAAGTTAGGGCCCGGCCTGCCAGTGTAACCCTGCTGCGGGCAAGAGAACACAGTGTAACTCGGCTTTACTGAGAGTTCCCTTCTATACATCGCCACCCCGACCCACCCAGAAAAGGATGTCTCCGTCTGCTTCAGAAAGGTTTAAAGTTTGCTGTTCTTCTGGAACTGGGCCACCAGGTTGAGGACCTGCTCAGAAGCTTTGATGTTCTTGGAGCCGAGGTAGGCGGTGCTGTTTGTGGCCGTCTCCTCCAGGAAGTACCGGTAGTTGACCATCAGGCCGCACGAGCCAGTGATGCCCTTGAGGCTGAGGTCGGCCATCCAGTTGATGCGCCACATCACAGCTCCATTCTGCAGGTGGAAGTTTGCCACGGGGTTCAGGGCGTAGCCCCGATGCTTCTCTCCATACAGGTACCAGGCACAGAGCCTCATCAAGGGAGCCTGGAGCGCCCTGACCAGCTTTTCAGACTTCACCCATTCGTTGCTGCTGAGAAAGACCTTGAGGGTCTCATTAATGGAACCCTCTGTGATCTCCGAGATTTCTTTACACTCCGAATCTGTAAATAACTCATTCCTCCCATGATCCTTTGCTTGTGAGTTCAGGAGCCCCAGGAGCCATTTGGTGAAGCCAGGTATAGGAGACAGACTTGAAAACGTCCCAAGGTGAGGAAACTCTTTCTGTAAGGCATGGTAGGGGGGGGAAGGAAGGTGGAGAAAACACACACACACAGAAAATTCAGCGGGGTGTCATCGATACAGAAACACCTGCCCATTTATCATTTGTGTATCATTAACCTGTGTACGCTGCTGTGTAGTTTACAAAGTGATATTTGATGTGCATTCATTTTCTTCTTTTAAGGAACATTCATTAAGAATCCGATGTGTGCCAGGCCCTGGGGGCATCCTGAGTCCCCGCGGCAAGCCTTTACGGGTGTCTCCATCCGCACCACTGATCAGGTGGCACGTCGGAGGACTTGGTGGGCCGTTTTCTGACCCCGGACCTCATCTCTCTGGCGCACCACCTCCTCCGTGGACATCTCTGCAGCCACACGACGTGGTCTGGTGCCTGGCACACACGTGCTCAGCGACTGTTTGCTGAGTAAGTAACTGCCCACCTGAGCCACGGGTGCAGAGGATGTGGCTCTTTCTCCACATCAGATGATACAGGTCAATCATCATTATTCAAATTACAGAGATCTCAACAATCATTTTTGTTTAAATCCAGTATTTTTCATTTATAAATGTAATGTATGGGCTTACTATAAACATTTTTTAAAAAGATTTGTGACAGAGCCAAGAAAACATAGCTCCTCTGCTCTGAGATGACTGCTCGCAACAGTCTGATCAAGTATAACTCCTTCCGGTCTTTCTCTGGGCGGTTTCTACGTGGGTGAGACTTTTATATCTTGTTTTATGAACTTATATCATGACCATTTCTCACTGTTAAAATCCAATAACAATTTCAATCACAGAACAGTATCCGAAGATGAGACTGCCCCTCTCCCCTGGCCGTGCTGCCGGCCCGGGGCTCAGGCGGCTCAGGCTCGTGTGCAACCCGGTGAGGCTGCGGTGGGGAGGGCCACGCTTCCTCGGGGTGCTCCTGGATGACGGCTGCTCAGAGCGGGCGGCGGCCGAGCGGCCAACCGGCCAACCAGCCAGCCGTCAGGATGGCTCCTGGGCCCAGGGGCTGCCCCCAGCTGACTGAGAAACTGAGCCTGGGGGGAGTTCCCCAGAACCCCGGACTCTGTTCCCTTTTGATGGCCTGTTGTACGCCCCCCCCTCCCCCCCCCCCCGTTCACCTTCTTCCTGCCCACTCATTTACACCTTCAGCAAAGAAGGAAATAAGAAACTGATACTAATTCGAAGTGGCTTCTTAGCACCTCTGGGGCAAAGCGGCAGAGAGTGATTCAGTGAAGCTGGCTCCACCTGGAGCCCGGGCGCTCAGCTTTAACCCTGACTGTGGATTCAGCACGAAGCACGTGAACATTTTAGTTCCACTCTGTCACTCTCTGGGAAGAGCTTTGGCTGCAGCTGTGTTGAAACTACCCAAAGCAGAGACTACCACTCGCAGACCCATTATTAACTATTAGACTAGACTGTACTCATCCTAGCTAGCCTGCCTGAGAGTTTCAGAAAGCCCAAGTGCAGCGTGACCCCCGACACTGCTGTCGCAGGACGCTCGAGTGTTCTTCCCAGGGCAATCGAGAGACGGACGTTCGCACGCATTTTAAAGCCAGTCTTTTTTAAGCTGCCTGGTCTCTAAGCTCAACACTCCCTCAAACGATGAGCAAGGCCAAGCCGATGAAATGTCAGGGGCCAGAAGCCTGGAGAGTGTGGGCAAGGGTGGTAGGAGACAGTCTGGTGTGGCTAAAATGACACAGAAGGTACCATCCAAACTGGGACAGGTGAGAACGGAAGGCAGCGCTCCTCATGACTACGTGGCGACAACACAGGGAAATTAGAAGGCGAGGTCCCGGGTCGCTGACATCCTCCCGATACATCTGCACTGGTGGCTAACAGAGAAGCCAGGTTCCTGAGGCCGCTTCTCCTCCCTGGAGTGGCTCAGGGCTCCGAGGACGTCCCTCTGGTGCCCCCCGCACCCCCCCCCCACGGCTGCACCCCTCACCCCTCACCAACCCTAAGACCTGTAGCTGACCCTCGGCAGCAGGTAAGAGGACTCACCTGGAGCTCCTTCACCACTCGCTTTATGAGGAAGGTCCCCAGCTCCACCCCCTGCAGCCCCTGCTGGGTAAGACTGATGGAATAGAACATGGCGGCGGCGATTTTGTTCTTCTCCTCTGTTTCCGACGGAGGACACTCCTTCACTATCGCCTGCAAAACATGGATGACGGTGGTGAGCGGGCTTGGATGCTCTCTCGCCCTTTCACCTCGGGCCATGAGAAGACCCTCCCAGAGGGGGACTGAGAGAGACCGCAGTGCCCCCTCCCCGAGGACCAGGCTGTGGAGACCGACGCTGTCTGGTCTGGTCGGGAACCTGCCTGCAGGTGGGGGCTGCACAGCGTCCCTGCTGTCTGCTCGTGTGGCGTCACTTCTCTCTTTCAAAGTCTCGTGCAAACTTGAATAGCAATTTATGTCCTTTTTGTTTTTTTCAGGCCTTTGTGCAAACTGAAACTTGATTACTCTGCTCCCCTTCCACACCCAGAGAACACCCCTATCCTTTGTCTAGGCCGCTGGTTCCCGTTAGTTATCTTCACTCCTTTTCTCTGAACTACAGGGTTGTAGATTTCTCGAGAGACCAGTGAGTCCTATATCATTTTTCTTTTAGGACATTTACCTTTTCCTGGCTTTCCTATGGACCTTTTGGGTTTGGTGCCACATTCTTGTTTTTCCTCCATGAAAACACACATCTGCAAAGTACTCTAAGATACGACTTGCTAAGCCTGACTTGATTAGCTCTGAGTTTTGACTGCGGGGTGTTTTGAACCGTAATACCGTGCAGGTCTCTTGACAGTGGTGGAATCGGTGGCTGCCCTCTGTCTGCTTTGAGGCAGGCACCAGCTTCTGAGCACATTTAACCACTCGAACTTCCACCAGCTACGTTTGCGTCCTGAAGCTGGGGTGGCTGGTCCAGAGCCCATGATGAGGTCTGGGGCTCACACGTGGTTTGAAATTGTGGATGGGATGTGCAGGTCTGGGGAACACGTCCTTAGCTTCCACCCCGTCAGAGAGTCAAAGGGTCTTTTCTGTGACTCCTGAAGAGGTGAGAACCGCTGCCTAAGGAAAGTGAGTAGCTGGTGGGACAGAGGCACTGACACTGGGGCGGCGGCCAGCCCCTCTCCTACACGTCGTCTGATGGAAGAACGCCGCGCTTCGAAGGCCAGAGCTCACGTCCCACCATCGCTAGTCTTCATCGGGGTGAACTGCTTTTCAAGAAGTCTGTAGGTTACCTTGTGGTTTCTTATTCAAAAATTTCCAGCACATCTTTTTCTAAAGTTTTCAAAATAGAAAGAATCTGTCCTTGTTTATAGAAATGAGATCTGCATAATATGCAAGAGGCAAGAATAAATGCACAAAGAAAAAAACAAACTACTCCGAAACCTAACACCAAGTCCTGCTGTAAACTGTTTGATGAACACCTTTCCAGGTCTATCTCACTGGCTACTTAAATATATGCACACACAAAACTGCAAACACATGCATTCTCACAGGCCTAGATGTTCAATTCTCCACACGCAGAAGGTGGCTGCCCTCAGGGCTAGGATGTGGGCTGGGTTGGAATCCAGGTCCCATGTTTAACTATTCATTGCAGGTAAATCACTAAAGCTCCCCTAAGCCTCAGTTTTCTCATGTCTAAAATGAGGACAATCATTAACAATGCTGCAAATATCTAACTCGCAGGGTGCGGTGAGCAGCAATACATTGAATGTACTTGGCGGGCTGGCACACACAGAGCAAATGCTCAATCAATATTAATATTATAAATCAGATCATACTGCACATGCTATTCTGTAACCTGATTTTTTTATGCACTAGTTTGTCAATGTTGGCTTTCCATGTCAAAACTATGAAACTAAACCAAGACTCGAATGCACTCCCAGAAATCCCACGCATGCGAGATGCACCAGCTGGACAGCCATCATCCCTTTCATGCATCCTCTGCAGACGGACACGCAGGGTATCTTTCCAGCCTTTAGACCGTGCTGCGAGCGCCTGCACTCCTGGGTCGGGGTCTCTGCCCACGATAAATTCCTGAAACTGACATTTTTAGGTCAAAGGAATGCCACGTTTTATATTTTAATAGATATCACCAAACTGTCCTGAGAGAGGTTGTAATAAATTCTAGTGTAAGAGTGTGCCGACTTGAAAAACACAAAACTGTAAGGGATTTCTCCCTGGTGATCAAGAACACCTGCTCATTTGCCTGCTTGATTTCTCTACCTTCTGATACTAGAAATGCCACCGAGAGGGCCCATCCTGTCACCTAGCATCATCTCTCCAGCTTCCAAACAGGCCATTCCCATGTCAAAACCCAAGCCCACCGCGGCCACCTGGTCTAAGTAAACTGGTTGTGACCCGGTGCCCCTATGTCCCTTCATTGGTCTTTACCTTCATCAAGATCTGCTCTCCTATTCCCAGGCCCACACTGGTTCTTCTTCTGCGCCCATGCACCTGCAGAAATGTCTGACATTCTCGCCAAAGCCTTAAGGGGAAGCCAGGCTCGCCACGGCAGGGCCTGTCAAACACGGCTCCCATCACCTCCACTCACCGGGAAGAGCACTGGGCCTGTGTCAGGCACACAGCACCGAGTCTCTTGTCCAATCACATGCCATTACCACTGCCCAAAGGCTTACTAAATGCTGAACAGTTGAACCATGCGCACCCCCTTCTCTTCTGCCCTCACAGCTCTTCTCTGCTTCACAAAAATGTTCTGTAACAGCCCTGGCCGGTCTGGCTCGCGGTGAGAGTGTCGGCCCGCGGACCAGAGAGTCCCAGGTTCAGGTCCCACTAAGGGCACGTACCTCAGTTGCGGTTTGTCCCAGGCCCTGGTTGGGGTCATATGGGTGGCAGCCAGCTGATGTGTCTCTCTCACGTCAATGTTTCTCTCTCTCTCTTCCTCCCTCTCTCCTGCTCTATCGAAGAAAAATGCAAAAATGTCCTTGGATAAGGATAAAAAAAATGTTCTGTAATGGACTTCAACCCCATCTCAACTCGAAGTCAGTAGACCCAGATGCATGCTCTCCTCATTTCAAAACCATCTGCGTACCACACATCTATATTCTGTAGCCAAAAAAATTAGGGTTTTATCTAGCCATTCAAAAATCCACAAAAGCCTTTCGAAAAAGGGCATAAACCCAAGTTTAAAAAACCTCCAGGGGCTCTGCCGGACGCCTGCCTTGTCCTGGACTGACCGCCACAGGTACCTGAATGTTGTTGGAGATGTCGCCGGTCAGTGCCACATGCAGGACCACCAGGGGCTCCCCGGGGGTTGAGCAGTGAGAAAAGAAGTAACATCTTCGGTATGGTCCAACGCGTCGTTTCATGTCCATCCAATTTTTTACAGGATGCACAGCCTCACACCTGATGAGAAGATTAGAATGAGGTAAGACAAATGTTCAATTTCCAAGTTAAATAACCGTGGCTGATTCTGATTCATATTATTCACTAAAGTCAAATGAGTCCTTTAAACACAGCTTCAATGGCCTCTTCAGGAAAATTGAAAGAAAATCATTTTAATGTGAAACAGCAGTGACTGAAAGGAACTGCAATTAACGACCATTTCACACACAAAACTGTGCTCTGATTTTTAATACCTGGTCTTAAGCCATGTTTGCGAGGCCCTTGGGAAGCAGCTATGCAGCGGACTGTAACGCAGAAACCTAGCCGGATGCTCAGTCACTGAACATTCTATGTCTTTTATTTCCTCTGAATCTACAGTTTGAAGTCAATGTTGCAAACACACATCCCTTTGTTCCCTGTGGCTAGCAACGTCTGCCAACCACTATTTTGTTTCACCACGTGAAAAGGCAGCAGGTACTACCAGCCCTCCAGTCGGTTACTCTCCAAACAGTACACCCCTTTCTGAACCTTAGGTTATGAGACAGCACAATGTGAAGATCCTGAGGCGAGATGAGCTCCCGTTTGTGAGAACCACCATGACATGCTAGCCTGCATTTTACTGTGTCTTGGACATGTTGGGATTACGTGCGATATTGTTAATTTAGAGATTTTCTCCAAGGGAGAAATTTTAACAACTAGATGAGACAGATGCTATTTGGATCATTAATACAAATGCTTGGTTCGGTGAATTCATACAGCTCTGATAATGGCGTCTTGGGAAAAAGGGGGGTCGTATGCTTTAAATATGAGGATGCGGACATAATGAGACTCTGCGTGTAGGTCTGCTGGGGAAATCACCAGTCTCTCTCTGTGCTCCTTCCTCCTCCATGATCTGACATCACCTCTGTGTCAGCCACAGCATTTGTGAATACTGTGTTTAGGTTTTATTAGGCTGGAAACAAAACATACATGTGAATGGAGACTGACTTTCGGCTACAATATAAGAAACGTGAAACCCTAAATACTTACTCACTGATTTTCTGGAGCACTTCACATGGTGAATGCCAGGTCACCCGTTCGAGGTTCAGGAACCCCGAGGAAAACCATTCTGTGAGCATGCCTTTCAGCACGCCATTCATTTCCTGAAGAAAAGAGAGAAAATGTCAGTTCTTCCGAGCCCATCTCTGCATTGTTGCCAGCACAGTGAATTAAAACATGAAAATGTGAGATCAAAGGAGACCGTGCAAGATGCTTCTCTAAATGGCCTTTTTGGAGACAGCACTACTGAGCTCTTATCTCAACCAAGATACACGAATTCAGGGCTCCATTTGGACCTGACTACTTCAGTCTGTAAGACAGCTGAATGGGAGTATTCAACTTGAATCAGGTTTCCCAAATCAAATAGGTTCCAATCCATTCACTGCAGTGAACAACTAAACACACGAAGTTAATAGAACACCGAATGGTGTACCATAAAAGAAGCACCAACTCAGGCAGCACAGAGCTCAAGTCCCCATGCCCTCAGGAACGGCTGATACGCCACAACATCCTTCCTCGTTTCCTGGAAGCAGGTACTGTCCAGGTACCTTACTCCATCAACTCTAAGATGCGCACTTCCGTGTCTTAACATCTCTGAAGTCAGGATGCATCTTTCAAATGATGGCGGGTCGCAACTGGTAGCATTTTATTTTCCTCCCTTAATGGGGCATAAAATATTGTATCTGGCAATCAGTGAGTTCAGATTTGATAAAATTATTCTAATTTCACTTCACTTACTTACATCTAATCTACTTCTGAAGACTGAGTCAACTTTCCCATCAAAGATAATTTGCACTGAAACCTTCTAAGCAAGAATAGAACAAGAAGTGCATAAAGAAAGGACAGGGGCAAAGGCATCTGTTTAGCCTGCTGTGACCACACTCAACAGGTAACAGCAGTAAGCGTCCTCACAGCCAGAGTGGCAAGGAGAGGGCATCAATATAGGGGGAGACACAGTTGGACTCGGACTGAGTTCAAAGAGCTTTTGAATAGCAAGGGCTGTCCACAGATGTCATCCTAGGAGAGTGTGAATCTCCCCACGGAAGTGCCAGAGCACAGGGTTGACAACAACTTGGTGGAGCTGGAGCTGGGTTAAGCACCTTGGCCGGATGATTCAGTTGGTTGGAGCATTGTCCCATATACCAAAAGGCTGCAGGTTCAATCCCCAGTCGGGGTGCGTGCAGGCCAACCGATCAATGTTTCTCTCTCACACCGATATTTCTCCTTTCCTCTCTAAAAATCAATAAAGACATATTTTTGGGTGAGGATTGTTTAAAAAGGATTTAAGCATCCAGTAGGCAATTGGACAGAATTACCTTTGCAATTCCTTTTAACTCTTTTTTTTTTTTATCCTCACCCAAGGACATTTTTCGATTATTTTGTTCAGATAGAGTGGGAGGGGTAGAGAGAGAGAGAAACATCGACGTGAAAGGGACACATCGAGTGGTTGCCATCCATAGGACCCAACCAGGGCCGGGGACAAACTGCTACAAAGGTACGCACCCTCAGCGGGAACCGAACCCGGTCTCTCCGGACTGCAGGTCGACGGTCTAACCGCTAAGCCAAACCATCCAAGGCTCCTTTTAACTCTTGATTGACTCTATAATCTAGTCTCCTTTACTTGGTTCTAAGCTTTGAAGCACACAGGTCATTTCTAATTCATTCCTCTAGTTCCCAAAGCATTCGGTGGGGCCTTCCATTGGAAGACGGCTAGCAGACTGACATCAAATGAAGAAGAAGAAAAGCTGGAGAATGGGGATTAGGAAGTAGCAGGAAGGGAGAATATGAGATGTCATTTGCTAGGCAATACAGGATGGCTCCTTATAAAACTGTATTTACTGCATTTGACTACAATGGTTCTTAATCTTCCTGGGGTCCTCACATACTCTTGAGTCTGTTAAAAACCAGAGACCCTCTCTCCTGAAAAATGCAAACACATTAATTAAATTCTGCATAGTTTCCTCTGCACTAAATAGTTAGAAGTGGATTAGCCCAACTCCATGTAAGATGAACTGGCATCTCTATTATACTCATAAAAAGCTGGAAGTATCTAGTTTCAGTATTAATTCAGTATTAGTTATTAAAGAAATGAGCTGGCCGATGAAAGCTCCCCATCTAAAAGTCTATTCATTCTATTTTGGGCTTTTGACAGCTATAAAATGTGACACTGGTCACAAGAACTGAGAATCTGGGTTAAAGGTTACAAGTCTCCACTGCTTAGTCCTGACATGGCAAGAAACTGTTCAGGCTGGACTGGGCCACCCCACGCAGCAAGGTTACTGGCTCACATAGAGCAGGAGGGAAAGAAATCGCTTATGCTTTCTGCTCATTAATCCTGCAGCCATTTAGCAACAATCCAAGACTCAGAAATACAACTGCTGGGAATATAGCGGCAATGCCAAAGTTAGTGTTAGGTCTCCATTTTTTCTGCACTGCCAATTCTGGTTATCCTGGGTGACACTGTTCAGAAGGCCAGCCAACTCTCTAGTTCAGCAGAGAAAAAGCTGTGTCCCACGCGCTCCTCTGAAGTTTTTGGCTATCAAGATCTCCTCATTTTTGCTATGTGAAGGAGAGTTACTTTTCATTGCTCAGAAGCCCCGGGAGGAGGGAGCTGAAAGTTACCGGAAAGGGTCACAGTACTGAAGCTACCACATTTCAGGCACGATTCCAACTCACACAAGCTGCTGTCCCCCAGGTGGCTGGGGCACACCTTCCTATCTACAAATGTTAACTTTGTCTAGCTAAGCACAGAATGTAGAACCAACAAGGACCACTATACTAACTTAAGACAAGCCACCAAAAAGGTGGTACGACAGGGTCTACCTAGGTTGGGCATTGTGACGGTGAGGATGCTGTGTGTCACACATGCGTAGTCCCTCCTGTTCTTCTATAAGGGCTTGCACACCTCTCATCTCACCATAATTTCTGTCTAAATCGCCCATCAAGAAACCTTTCCATTTTCTAAATGCCAACTTCCCCCTAGTGCCCACAGCCGCTGAAGAGCACTCAGAACTCCTGCCAAAATGGGGTTCAGTTCCATTTCATTGGGGATTTTATCTAAGAAACCTAACTCTTTAACCCAAATGGGCCTTTGGGAATGTCTCTGGGGAAAAAAACAAAAAGCCTATAAACTAACACACACAGAAATTACAGACCCCCCCCCCCCCACATAACCCTGCTCCCCCCCATGTTCCACACTCACACCCTCACACCCCATAAGCCGAGCTGAGCACCCACCTACACATTTACAGGGCACTCTGTTTAGGAGGCATCTGTGTATCGGATCTACTATGTCAAAACACAATACAGATACTTGACCTTTGCCAGGTTGTAAAAACTTTCTTCCATGTGGCACTGTATCCTCCCAGCAGAGACTTGAAACTGACTCTGAACTAAAGGTTAAGATCCCCATGGGAGAGAAGAGAAATGTGTCTGACTAGCCAAGGAAAGAGACCTGTCTGGCCTCGTGCCTTTGGTCCCATGCTGGGCAACACTCCAAATGGAGTGTCCTTCTTCTGTATTCCCCTACATTTCCAATAATCACAACCCTTGGCCAGAGCCGAGGTCTTGACAAACCCACTCTCATTCGTCAAATGGATTCTTGGCAAAGTTCCACCATATCCCTCAGGGCATTTCTTAGAAGAGAAGCTGGCTGACCTTGAGCATGTCCACCACCAGCTGAATTTCTCACCTCAGTGCAGAACCAACAGGCCCAGGGACTTAAGTGACTTGAATAAGGTCACCTAAAATCATGTCTCTAACCAGTGAGTGACAAAGAGAGGACTGGGAACCTGCCTCTTACCTCCCCACCCAGAGCTGCTTCCACTTTACTCACTGTCGGTCAAAGGCAGAGAATCAGCATCCTGTTTGGCCTCACATTGGTTATTCTGAAGTGCCTTTGGACCCTACAGGTTCCAGGAAATGAGAACACGTGCCAGGCATGCAGTGGACCGAATCCATTCCAGGTTAATGCTCAGGACCAAGGCCACAGCAGCTCATGTAAAACAGTGTGTGTTCACTTGACTTGACCTAGCAAGTCCTAAGGTCAACAGGGGCCAGGCAAGGAGCATGCCTGTATGACAGGGTGTCTGCTGCGTGCACACAGTAAGGGTGCTGACATGTGGGGCACCTGCGGAGGAGTTCCCCACTCCCCCGGTGTCACAGGGCATCCGGTTCCTGTGGATCTGGGACTCCTGCCCTAAAGCTTTATGTGCCAGACTTCTGGTAGTTTTTAACACTGAATTCCTAAAAGCGAAAAGTGCTAGCTGTATCACCTCTTTAATTTGGATGCAAAATCCAGAATGAGAGAGGAGAGAATCAAGATGGACATCAAGTGACTCTGGTAATAGATTACAATATCATATCCCAGTGACAATTTTTATGAATTTAAAGAAACCTATTCTCTGAATGATTTCAATGATAGTGATTTTTAAAAATTTATGTAACTATGTAGAGCAAAGGAGAAGGGAATCATCAGGTTTCGCCACTAACAGATGTACTAGATATAAGGACAGGATTTCTAGGTTAAAACATGGAGGAGGCATGATAGAAACTAAAAAAGGCTTCTGCACTCAATGTATCCAGACCACGTACAAAGGCAAAGATCAGGCCATTGTTATTTATCCTTTTTTCAAGCAATATCTTTATTCCATGTGGCTTTTTGCCTGTAGATACATGGTTTTCCCCTCACATGTATGGACAGCTTGGTTGGAAAAAACAAGGGAACCCTGAACATCTGAGGACCTAGTGTTGCCGGCAGCTCTGGATTTCCCCAGGGCAAGCTCCTCTCTTCCCACAAGTCACATCTCAATGTCACAGCTTTCAGCTGCCACCATGTTCCTTCTCTACTGCACAGTAACTAAATGTTTTCTTGTGTGGGCAAGAGCAAGGAGACACATTCAGTAATGTGTCAGAATCAGAGGATTTAGAACTGGACAAGGCATTATAATCAGCCAGGGCCAACACACTGAAATCAGCCAAGGGCAGTATGAATGGCTGCTGTCTTTCTCGGCCGTGCAGACACCTCCCAAGCCCTCTGGGCTTCCTTCCTGGCTCAGAACTCTGTGAGTGGAGCAATCTGACATCAAGACAAATGGCAATGATTAGCGGGTTGACTTTGTCTTATGGCAGGGCACCCAAGAGTCTATATTAAAGCTCCATTCATCATTTTGCTATGCAAGAAATTTAAGACAAGGTTCCCAGTTTTCAAGGAGCTGATCATCTAGCAGGGGGTAGGGGAAACAGTACATTTCAAACACTAAATTCTGTGGTTGATATATAAAATCCAAGCGAGTGGGTGCAGATAATAATGTATGCCATGAAGCTCAAAACTGGGTTGAGCTGCAGTTGCTGGAAACGCTGAATGAATGAATGAGCTAAGAGTGGAGGCAGCTCTTATGCTACCTGGCCTCCCAAGCAGGAATCACACAGGAATGTGGGTTCAGGAACTTTCCATCCAAGAGTCAGCTTGGCTGGAGAGGTGAGTCTATGAAGAAGAGCGAGTAATGGAGAGTAAAGATGGAAATGTTGTCCAGGATGGTTCAGTGTGCATCAGAAATGCCAAAGGAAAGACACTCAACGTGATCCTTGTGGCATGTGAGGCTTGATGCTTTTTTAACAAGGGAGTCAAGACTGACCTAAGGTTTTGGAGAAAGATGGGCACTGGGATTGCTGATAAGACAGAAGCTTGCACAAAGTCTTAGAAAGAGAATATAGTACAACTGGAGAATACTGGACTCCTAATTCAGTGAAACTACATAAAACAAAGCCACCAATTAACTGGGTTGTTTTCTCCGCCCTGCACTTTAGAGAAAAGGCAAATTCTAAGAGGACACATCCCTTCAGATCTAGTTAAATGGCCAATTCCAAGAGTCACTGTGTAGTGACGAAGTACACAACGGTGGACATCGAGTTGTGGTGCTCTCCCCAGCTCTGCACTCTGGGCACTGCACTTGACCTCCACCAGCTTTAACACAGCATCTGGAACACAGTTCCCTGTGGCTTGCTGAGGATGCAATGAGCAAGTGAATGAAAAGCACTCTTCCAGTCTAGAAAAGAAGCTCCTGGACCAAGTGACCTGGGAGCCTAGGGCATGCCTCATTCAAGATAATCACTGGATGGCCACATGTTGAAGGACGATGGGGGGATGATTTCATTCTGAGACAGGTGACATTCTACCTAAGTCTCCAGACTCCTAGGCACTAAGAATCACATTCCAGAAGGCACCCAGACTCCTAGCCAGTAGAGACCTCAAGTTCTAATCATCTCTGTGCATTTCACAGGACTTCTTTGGACAATGGCTTATACATTATGGATGCACAATTAACTTGTGCTGACACAGACCAGGTTTTTAGAAAGGCTGCCTGATGCTCATTTTGGTACTCGTTCAAGTATACTACAGAGACGAAACCTCTCAGTTAAAATGGTAGGTCTTTATGAAGCATACTAATCGTGAACGAGGCGTGACAGTCTCTTAAAAGGAGGCTATTGCCTTACTTAATAAGCACTACACAGTAAGGACTGGAGCAAGACATAATTAGAGGGAGCTAAGGATTCAAAAAGTGTGGGAAGGAATGGGCAGGGTTTGGGGGGGGGGGCGGGTCTGTAACTCCTAGTGAAGTGTGCACAGCTTTAGGCAGGGAAAGCATAGTGTTTGGAGCAGTGAGGACTATATAGGGGCTGCCAAGGGCCCGCGGACCTGGGCGCAAGACGGGGGCGCGACCCGGGCTGTCCCCGCTGACAGGGGGTCGGGGCGGCCCGGGCGGGGCCTTACCCGGACGTGCGGCCCCTCCACCAGCTTGAGGGCCTGCGCCTCGATCAGGTCGGCCCGCAGCTGCACCAGGAAGCGCACGCCGCCGTCCAGCTTGCTGATGTGGTGGAAGAGGCCGCGGTAGCGCGGCACCAGGGCGTAGCGCAGTCGGTCCTCGGCCTGCAGCAGCACGGCCGCCTCCCGCGGCTGCTCCCGCAGCTGGAGCACACTGGCGCTCTGCTCGGCCACCTGGCCGTGGTCCACGCCGAAGCCCTGCGCCAGGCGGCCCAGCAACTCGGCGCGCTCGGCCACCTCGGCCAGGCCGCCGTAGAAGCTCACGAAGTCCGCGCACTGGCCCTCGGCGGGCGCCGGCGTCTTCTCCCGCAGCTCGTAGACCGGCGTCGCGGGCACGGTGCGGCGCAGCAGCTCGTCCATGGCCCGCTCCAGGGCGCCCACCGCCGCCGGCCCGCTCGACAGCCGGGGTGCGGGCGACCGCTGCGGCCGCGGGGGTAGCCGCAGCGGGAGGAGTCGCCGCACCGTCAGACCTGGCCCTAAGCCTCGCATGGCGCCAGGAGGCAGCTGCCCAAGTGACTGTCGCCACTGCTGCCGTGCTTCCGGATTCCGACTTCCGGCGCGCGCCGGCCCCATTGGCTGAGGCGCGGGGACGAGCGGGGCGGCGGCCAATTGGAGGACGCAGCGGCGGGGGGGCGGGGCGGAGTGCTCGAGGCCAAGTGAGACCAAAGGTCCCGGCCCGGAGGCGGGGCGGGCAGCGGCTTTCGGCCTCTTTTCCAAGACCTGTCACCGGGTCACCTGATGTCTCTGTCTCAGCCCCCCTCTCCTCTTCCCTCACCGCAAATGCGCCTCCATTCTCTAGAGCGGAGCTCTCCAAACTGTTTTTCCTTCCTTAGTATTCGTCCTTCCGTCCATCCATCCATCCAACCAACAAAGTGTTTATTAACCACTTGGTATATGCCAGGTTCTACGTGAGGCCCCGGGATAAATAATTAGCCAGACAGACCTGATCGTGCCCCATGGAATTTACAGTCTAATGAAGGAGACAGATGATAACATAACTAAACGCTGTGGTGAGTGCTATAAAAGCAAATAAACGGTGGAATCATATAACATAGCAGAGCCAGGGTGGACTTCCCACGATGAACAGGGTCATCAGGAAAGGCCTCTCTGAAAAGGTGACATTTAAATGTAGGACCTGGCAATGATAACACTAATTTTTAAAAAGGGAAATGTGTTGGTGAGGGTGTAAAATGAAATTCTCATACACTGTTGGGAATGTAAAATGGTGCGGTCATTCTGGAAATCATTTCGACAGTACCTAAAAGAATTAAACATAGAGTTACCATATGGCCCAGCAATGCCAGTCCTAGGCCCTCAAGAGAATTGTAAACATATATTCACGGAAAACCTTGTGCATGAATTTCACAGCAGCATTATTCCTAATAGCTAAGAAGTAGAAACAACCCAAATATCAATGAACTAGTGAATAGGATAAACCAAAAGCTGCATATCTATGAAATGGAATATTATTCAGCCACAAAAAGGAATGAAATACTGATACATGTTACAACATGGATGAACCTTGAAAACATTATGCCAACTGAAAGAAGCCAGGTAACAAACGACCATATATTGTATTATTCAATTTATATGAAATATCCAGAGTAGGCAAATCTATAGAGACAGAAAATAGATTACTGGTTGCCTAGCACTTGGAAAGGGGAGAATTTGGAGTCACTGATAATAGCTATGAAGTTTCTTTCAGTGATGAAAGTGTTCTGGAATTAGTAGTGGCGAAGATTGCACAATATTGCGAATGTACTAAAAACCACTGAACTACATGCTTTTAAATGGTTAAAATGGTGAATTTTGTTATATAAATTTTATCTAAAAGAAAACACTGCCCCAGAGGGATTAGCATCTCTCTAGCCAATCAGTAGAGATAATTTGATTGGTCTAGCTGGGATCAGGTTCCCTGGCTGGGATACAGGGTCATATGGACCATGCAGGGCTGAGAGGGAGTCATCCTTTTGGATGGGGACACAATGTTCAGAGGAGAGGAGAATGGGCTGGGCAGTTGTCCCAAGAAATGTCTACCTTAAGTATAAAAAAAAAAAGTGTTAAAGAAAATCTTGGGGGGAAAATCACCCATAATTCTAGCATTTTTTTAAAAAATATGTTTTTATTGATTTTTTTTAGAGAGAGAGAGGAAGGGAAAGAGAGAAAGAAACATCGATGTGAGAGAACCATCAATCAGCTGCCTCTTGCACGCACCCTACTGGGGACTGAGCCCGTGACCTGGGCATGTGCCCTGACTGGGAATCGAACCAGGATCTCTCAGTCCAGAGGTTGATGCTCAGTCCACAGAGCCACACCAGCCAGGCTAATTCTAGCATCTTAATTATGAATTTTTATTTCTGCAAATTCTTCCAGTATTTGCCAACAGACCAATATATTTTTCCAACTTGTAATTACTGTGTTTGTCCTGTTTATCTCCTGTTGTTTTCACTTCCTATCATATCACAAACATTTTTTATGTTTCATAATCCACCTTCGTAATTATCATTATTTTTTTTTTATCCTCACCCAAGGACATTTTTGCATTTATCTTCAGATAGAGCCAGAGGGAAAGAGGGAGGAAGAGAGAGAGAGAGAAACATCGATGCGAGAGAGACACATCGACTGGCTGCCACCCACACGACCCCAACCGGGGCTGGGGACAAACCACAACTGAGGTACGTGCCCCTAGCAGGAACCAAACCCGGGTCTCTCTGGTCCGCGGGCCAACACTCTAACTGCTGAACCAAACCAGCCAGGGCATACTTATAGTTTTTAGTGACTACATAACATTCAAGTGAGTTGATGTACCATAATCTCTTAATTACTTTGCCATGTCTGGATATTTATGTGGCTTCTAATTTTTTTGTTTGGGGTGGGGGTGGGGGGATACTATCATACTGCAGGAACTACATTCATGCATACTGATTTTTTTTCTTTTATTGGAGTTACCCAAATTGCTTAAAGAGACCAAATAGAATGAATTTTCTCATGAAATGTCAAACTAACAAGAAATCGAGAAAGAAAAGAGACTCATGAACTCACTGAGCTAGCTGGGAATGCAGTCACAATTCTGGGGATTTCCTCCTCACACCAGGGAAGTCTCTGTTCTCACTGGTATATTTATGCCTTTCTTCCCACCAATACTTCAATGAAGTCATCTCTGCTATGAATATACAATATGAATGTAGATTTATCTCTTCATTTGGGTTGTATCAGGTTGGTTAATTTTTGCTACTCCTTAGACATGTCTTTCACTCCTGGGGTACACATCCAAGGGTCTCACTAGACCAATTTCTCAACCTTGACACTATGGATTCTTCTTTGGGGTGGGGGGCTGTCCTGTACATTGTGAGATGTTTAGCAGCATCCCTGCCTCTACCTAGGTGCCAGCAGCATATCCCACTTGCGACAACCAAAAATGTCTCTAGAAATTGCCAAATGTCTCGTGGGGGACAAAGCAGCCCTCCCACTGTTGAGAACCACTGCTTCTCAAGTTCTAGACCAGTGGTTCTCAAGCTTTGCTGCACTTTAGAATCTTGTGGGGAGACTTTAAAATATTTTACACCCAGACTGCACCCAGTCCAATGAAATCAGAACCCCTGGGGCACACTGCTCACACATCCAAACCACCTGGGAGCTTTAAAAAATTACTGATGCCTGGGCCACAACCTAGAGGGTCTGATTTAATTGGTCTGGAGTGGGTCCTGGGCATTGGCATTTTAAAAAGGGAAGCATTCGGTAAATCTGATGTGCAGTCATGGGGCAAATGCCTATGAGGAGAATTGCTGGGCTGCAGGGCTCCACTTTAACAAGTAATGGAAACTTGTTTCCAACCACTTTGTCTTTTACTTATGTCTGCCTTCCGCCCCCATGCCTGCCTCCAGCCTGAGCTCCTAGAGTCTGTCTCGTTTATCTTTAGACAACTGTTGCCTAACCCAGTAATTGGTACAAAGTAGCTGCTTAATGTATATCTGTTACTGAATGATGAGGAATGAGTTACAATTTTGCTGCAATTTGAAAACACCTTGTCGTTGGAGCCAATAGGAAGAGAAGCAGAATTGTAGTGACAGGTCATGGAGTCAGTGTCCCCAGGGAGTCTCCCACACATTCTTCAGTGGCAAGCTGAGTGAGGTGGTCAATGTCAGCAAGTGTGAGGACTTGTAGGTGCTTCATTCTGAAGCCTCTGAGGCTCCCTGCTGTTGGAAGCGGGTGTGTGTGTGTGTGTGTGTGTGTGTGTGTGTGTGTGTGGAATAAGGGGCTGTGGGGTGCTGGTAGGACAGGGCCCAGGACTGTGATAGGGAGGCTTGAGCAAAGAGAAGTTGAATGGAGACTGGGGTGAAGGGACTCCTAGGTACCATTCTGTGGTCAGCAGAATGCTGTCCCCCCAAATATGTCCATGTCTTAATCCTGGAACCTGTGACTGTTCGGGTCCATGGTAAAAAGGAGAATTAAGGTTGCAGATGGAATTACAGTTGATCTTGAGATGGGGAGACCATCCTGGGTTATCCAGGTGGAAGAAGGAGGCAGAAGAATTAGAATTAGAATTAGAGAGACATTTGAAGATGGAGGAAGGAGCCCCCGGCCTCTAGAAGCTGTAAAAGGCAGGGAAATTGTCTCCCCTGGAGCCTGCAGAAGGAACCAGCCCTGTGTGACGTTTGCCCTGTGAGGACTCGGGTGGACTTCTGACCTGCAGACTGTAAGAGAATGCCTGCGTTGTTTCAAACCACTAAGTTTGTGGTCATTTGTTACAGCAGCAATAGGAAACTTACATACCTTCCAAGGCTTGCTTTGTTTGCTCCGAAAGGCAATGCAATGGGGAAAATATGTTTTGGCTCCAACTCTGGTCTTTATTAATAAGAGCAAATGCTTGCTATTGAACGTGCTAGGTGCCAGACATTATCCTATGCACTTCACATAAAGTCTTTCCTTTAACCCTCACAGCAACTCTGAGAGGTAGGTTCTACTTTAATCTGCATTTTTACTGATACAGTAAACTGAGGCACAGAGAGGTTAAGTGACTTGCCCAAGGTTTCCCATGCAGTCTGACTCCAGAGCTGACATAACACACTGCCACGTTTGTGATTGGTTACTCAACGGTCAGTTTCTTCGTGGTAAGACTGCAGCCCTTCTAGATATGTGTTGAGAGGAGCAAGCTTGGGTTATTGTAGCAAAGCAGTTTCTGTACCAGACAGGCGAGGGTTGGAACGATGGTTCTGTGGCTCATTAACTGTGAGACTCCAGGTAAGTTATTTAACTTCCTTGAGCTTTATTTTAGTTTCCTCATCGGAAACAAAACAAAACAACACTACCTAAAAGGGTTGGCACTTCGGTGACATGAGAAAAACTATGAGAAATCACTCAATAATATACAGGGTGTCTGTAGATCCTATTACATTTTGAAAATGACATGCATTTTAATAAACACTGGCTTTATAATTATTCAAAGTGCACATACATTTTGGGGGGACACCCTCTCTCTCCATTTCTTGCCCCTTCCTGGTTC